TACACACACACGCGCACACACACACACACACACACACATATATATATATATATATATATATATATATATATAAATATATATATTAGATATATATAACTATTGTTCCCATATTTTTACATACTTCTATGTAAAAGTATGTATCTATTGTAGACTATTTATTGATGTACAAATGGATCTCTAGGATTACATGTCAGAAAAGCCCGCCAAAATCCACAAAAGGGCGATATTCAAAGGGTGATTTGGTGTTGTTTTTTATTTCAAGCGCCAAATCTAGTTTCCCAGACGTAAATCTATTGGGCAAAATATTTGGCTGAACAAATTGAGCCAAAATATGTAGCTGTTGTCCAGTCTAAAATAAATTGATCGGATCTGGACCCACATTTATGTTCAAATTTATACCTGACAATCCTGATTAATTGAAGAGTCATATCGACCTGAATGTTGGGACCAAATTGTTGTGGCCTCAAATTTTTGCGTAAATACATAGACATAAGTCATATGTATTTAGTGACGACTTCTGTTTGTTTACTTTTTGTACAAAAAAGAAAAATAAAGTGTCATACAACAGAAGAGAGAGAGAGAGAGAGGAGAGAGGTCAAGTAGACCGGCTTTTTAGACACGAGCGCATACATATATATATTGTAAATTGTCGATTGCATAGTGCATACTGTGCATGGTGTGGGCGCGAGTGTGTCTAATAGAGGTGTTATAGTTGCGCTTGTAGGGAAGGAATTGCGATCGTATTGATTCCCATGTGTTGATATGCTGACTGTTTCACGAGCAGCGTAAAGAGCAATACACCACTTTCCTATCAGCGAGTGTCTATCGTGGTTGAGACGTCAAAGCTGAAAGTACTTGAAAGTACTTACAAACACAAAGGAATATGAAAGTCACATTTAACAGGGGGGCGGGTGCTTTAGTTCGACAGTGGGGGGGTTGGATAGTAACTATTTTTATCATAGGGTATGTTTTTAAAGCCTTCTACTACTCACAGGAATCGAACGTGGACAACACCAGTACAGTAAAATATTACGGGGGTTCGCTCGGTAGCAATGGTGCAGTTAGTCCCAGTAAGAAGCCCTCATTTATACCCGAGAAGGTCTTCCCTTCCAAGATACTAGTAGTAAACGGAGCGGGTTATATAGGCTCACGCGTAGCTAAACACTTCTTTTCTCTCGGCCACGATGTGACAACCGTGGACACACTCAGCAGCCCAAACACATACGAAAAGGCACTGAAAACTCGCAGAGAGCGTGATCTCAAGAAGATAGGTATCGATACGTTTAGAGGACAGGCATGCCACTCATATTTCCTGGGCCATGTGATCGACATGCGTGCAGTCACGCACGTGGTGTTTGCCCCACCCAGTTTTTCATCGCAGGAAGACTTCACGGCACTATTAGTGTGTTTCGGCAATATTGCCCAGACTATAAGCAACCACCGCCGACCAATACGTCTTGTGTATGGTGTTGCAGGGGCTACACTGAAGAAGCCATCTAGAAGCCACACGCCAAAGTATGAGGAGGAAGAGGAGGAAGAGGTGCATGTGACGAATATCGACCAACCTGTGGAGTACATCGTGTCACGTTCACATCATAATTTGAATAAGGTTCTGAGTGAAAGCATGGCATCTATCGCACGGTTATACCAAAATTCACACCAGTTACCGGTGGTAGGGCTTGTTTTGCCTGAGATCTCTGGTGATGTACTTGGGCCAGGTAATCTGTACTTCCACGTGTACGAGCATATCAGTGAAGGCACACCCATACTGGGGTATAGTGATGCGTTGATAAGCACGATCAGCATGGGACAGTGTCTTGAAGCCTTTACACACTTACTGAAAGTTCGGTATCTATCGCATGTATTGGTAGCAATCGACCGAGAGAGCACGGAGGTGAAGACCTTGCAGGAGGTGGTGGATGCCATGTACAAGGAATACTATGCCAGCAATAAGAAACCCAGCAGTAAACCAGACATCATCATACCAAAGAGCCCAGCAAAGGAGCTTGGCGGAGAAGGTGAAGTATCAATGGGTGAAAGCGTGCACCGTCATGGACCAATTCTCGAATACGGCGCAATTGGCGGCATCGGTGGTAGCAACGGTGTAGCTCTGAGCGTTGCCATGGCAACCAGCGGAGGCTTTTCTGGCACCATAAAAAAGATGATGAGTTCACTCGCAGAGTCTGAAATGTTCCACCAAGACCACCAAGTTCTCGTTCAAAGGAACATTGCTGCTGCAGGAATTCCTTTTGAGGCACTCGAGGACCCGAACAAGTTCAATCCTGAGGAGTCGGCCGAAGTAAAAGCGGCTATATCTAAGGTAAGCGACTGGTAGACAGTCAATTTTTTTCTAGGCTTTCTCATAATATAATCGAGAACTTGATGGTTTATACACACACACACACACACATATATATATATATATATATTTATATAATGTATATATATATATATATATATATAGATATATAT